TCATATTCTTACACACTCTGGTACAGGTTGGTTGGCTTAACAGTGGGTGCCCGCTGCAAAAAGCAGGATTATACTGATAAAACATCTACGCTTTCTGACGCTGATCAATACGGGTTAGTCATGCGAGGTCAGCAAGCAAAGTTGCGATGAGAAATGATTACGGTATTTATCTGGGTAAAAAAAGCAATTTTCAGTGGATTTACTGACAAAAACCCTGATAGAAATACAGTGAAAAATTCAAGTCAGGCGAATGAGCTCGGTGACCTTGACTAAAGGTGTCAACAACAACAACTGGCACAGTAACACAGATATAAATTATAACTGCAAATCTGCACAATGTTACAACTCCTCGTATTAACTCAACCCTCTAAAACCAACCGTCAGTTTAATGGTTTAATGAGGCAGGAGTTCAGGACCCTTCTGCAAGAAACATCTCTGGGAGGCATTAAAAAAAAAGAAATCACTGAATGTCACATAATATACAGCGTTTCAAATTAGGTTTCAAGGGAGGAAGATGTTATATTTAAGGGTAGACTTGCTCAAAGCTTAAAGCTGTTTCAGAAAACGATTAATGCAACATCTAAAACTAAAAGTATTAATAGGGCTAATAATCTTCATAATCTTGACCAGTCAATATATTTTTAGAAAAGAATCACAGAAGGTTAATCTCTATAAAATCCCTATGGGGGAAATTGTACTTCATAACAAAACATGTAACCTCATTTAAACCAACGTATGGTTTAGTAGTAAATCTTTGGAGTGACTATGTGTATCAGGAAGAATATTTATCAATAATCACCTAACTAAGTGTATAATGTATTTTCAAGGAGACGGTCAATAGGGCAATTCATTTCCAAGGGGAAAAGCTTGATCTTAAAGATATGCTCTCTAAAACATACTTTTGAAGTATAAAGTAGGCCGCGCCGGCTAAGCCTCGGGAGGTTTGTACATAAATCATTACAAATTAGAGGCAGTGAAGAGGAGACAGGTGCTTGGTGCAGCACAGAAAGAGTAGAAGAGTAGAGTCACATGCAGACACTCTGACACAGTACATACATAGAATCAACACATGCAGCTAAAAGGATCCCATGTCATTATCACATCAAAACTGGACTTATGGTGTTAATGGAGAAGAGTGGAGAAATGCACACATTTAGATACATTTGAGGTACTTGGAGTACAGCGAAAAAGGAGAAGGACCCGGATGCAAAGATTGGAGGGAACTAAGAGGGAGAACAGTTGCGCAGATGTGACTTGAAAGACCTTTAATCATCGTTATGGCGGCGCGATAATGAGGAACCCGGACTCTCCCTTCACACCAGGTTGGAAGCCAGCCCACACACGGCTGAGAAAGGCAGCATCGTGTTTATGAATAAAACATAACAAGAGAGTAAAACTTTGCTCCTTAAAACCATAACTTACAAGTGATTATGCCCTCAGTTCTCACGGACCCGGAGAGATGAACCCTCCGTTTAACAAGCCGCTGGGGAGCTGCTATTGAAACCAATAAACTCTGGTTTTCCTGCTTACGGAAATAAGATTTATTTACATGATTTCAACACTTCCTGTTGTGATTGCTGTAACTCTTTTTCATGTGAGCCTCCGTCAATCACGCCTTCAGTATCAGCTTTCACTAACTTTCTTTTTCAAAAAGTGAGTGAGTAAAGGGGTAATAAAGAAATCTGCCTGTGTTCCATTTCATGATGAGGTCAAGCACGTGACACCAGAGGAAGCGTGAGTCACTGCACTTCTTGAGGAGGGGAGTCGGGAAAGTACAAAGGCGTTTTTGGAAGGAGAGACAAGAAGACGAGGCGAGAAGGGAGGAGATAAGAGGATGAGTTAGTATTTAGGCTTTAGACATTGGCAGGATGCCATGAAATGTAATCCAGCGAAGAAACGTGATGGCATTGATGCATGTTTTAAAGTTCGTGCCTGAACAACTTGGAACAAGAATAAAGACAGATTTCTACAGAGTTGAGTCGGTTTATAAGTGTGAGAGTTAGTTGGCTATTTACAGACAGACTTCGGAATTTTCTCAGTTACTTTGATAGTTTGAGCATAACGTGATAAGAAAAATTAATTTAAACAGCTTGTACAAAAACATATCATTTCAATTACTTCAAAACTCATCACAGTGACAGACAGCGTCCTGTCAGCACGTTGGGTTCATACCTGAATGAGTCATTTTGAGAATCCGTGAGGTTATGCAAGGTCCCCAAAATAACCCTTATAGATCTTCTCAACTTTATTCATTTGAGGTTATAACTCTTACATTATAGCGATGGTGTCATCTAATCACGGAGATCTTTTTGAACCATTTCTTTTCTTTTTTTTTGGTTCCCAAAGGGATCAGAAGAGTCGAGCAGAGTGATGAAAGGCCCCGCCCCCTCCGTGTTGCCAGTAGCTGTCAAATAAAGGCCTCGGAGAATTCGCCGGCGCAGGCAAGAGGTAAAGACGTTGCTCGAGGACATGGATTCAAATGGATGCTTGTCTACATCAAATTAGAAGAAAGGATTCGATAAGAATCCCAACCCCAGGTCCCATGGGTAACAGGTGGTACACAAAGTATAATCACGAGCAGCGGTTCAAGACCAGAGAGGTCTTGGTTGCTCGGAGAGGAAACGCATCTCACCCCCGAGGGAAGCCTTTGAAGTTAATGTGGCGATATCAAAGAATACGCTGGAGAGGGATTGAGATCAATTCTGTGGATTACCACCCTAACCCAGATAAACACCTACATCTGTGGATTATTTATCATGTCCTGCCAAAAGCCAAAAGCCATACATTTAACATGATAACTTTTGTGCTCAGCATGCTGCAGCCATCAGCGTTCAGTCAAAGCAGTCAGGAACATAATGTGAAAGATTTGTTTAAAGTATTTAAATAGGAGAGTTAAGGGAGAATTACATTCATAGAAATGACTTTAGCTGTTGACTTGCTGCTAATGCACTCGGTGCTCCTTCCTAACTGAAGGAAGTGCTTCAAATTCTCAAACTCCAGTTCATTTGTATCAAATTATACATATAAACGTAATAAATGTGACTGCTCAAATTTGGGGAGATAATGCTGCTGTGAAGCTAGCAATGAGCAAAGGATCCAGATAAGTGCTGCTGTAGTTACATAAGCTCATTACACGCGCTCACACTCGGTCACTCTCTCTCTCTCACACACACTCTCACACACACATACACACACACACAAACACACACCGACACAGGGACAACGCTCTGCTGCTGCCAGCCGTCTGTCATTAACCTTGACTGTATTTCCACCGTGACCCGACTCCTCTCCCTCCCTCTCGCAGGCCGGACGAGGATGAGTTAAACATCAATGCGTAAGGCTGTGCAGCAAGTATTTTATAGTTTTCCTTATGTTATTGTTGGCGAATCAAAGGGTCAATTGTGTTGTTTCCCATCATTTCTAAATAGCTTTACATCTCAAAAGCACCACGCTGCTGTCTCCCGCCGGGCTTAAACTCACTCCAACGGGAAACCACCATAATAAATCTCCCTTAATAGGAAGCTCACAGGATGGTCGGCCGCGTCTCTACGCGTCCGATCAATTTGAATGATTGCAATCGTTTGCTGTACGTAATAAAGAGAATTAAATCTCCTGGCAACCTTGCAGCCCTGTAGGCTTCTTTCTTTTTCAGAGGGTTTTTATTTTTGTGTTGGAAAGCTGAACGATTGCCCCAGACGGATGAAGCCCAGCAAAGTAACTTATCATGTACATATCACGTACATGCTGTAAAGGTGCACTGCAATCAAGGGTTTCAATCCTTGTGCTATGAAGATATTCGGTGTTGTAAACTTTCTCCATCTTTTCATCTTTTTGAAAAAAGCACCTGATGTTCAGTATACGAAGGAAAAACCGTCGAGATCCGAAAACGTATAAAACTAAGACGAGAAACGATTTGGTCAAAGCATGTGCAAATATTTACACTACACACTTTTGGCTATAGGCTACGTGGATTTATTATAGTATTTTATTATTAGTTGTTTTTTTCTTCTATTCATAAAATAATTACCCTTTTCCGCCTGAGTTGAACGCGCTGTTCTGTCTTTACACAATTTCCACCAAAAGATTCGACAGATGTTAGTTAAAGCTGTGCTGGAATCTCCAGAGGAGTCAGCCGATGGGATGCTGAAGACTTGCTTGTTTTTCACTTAACTGAATCCCACTGCATTTTACTGCCAATATACAAACAAAAGAGAACTTGAAAGTGAGACTGTTCTCAATTTTATAAGTCCCAGTTACGATATATTGACCCTTACTATATGCACACGGAGGAAATGCCAAGATGGGTTAAATGAGATTAAACACCAGACAGATCCTTTCCAGTGTCGATTCTAACACTACTTAATCCACCGGGGACAAGTAAAGCAATGAAAAGCAAAGTCAATCAATCACACAGTTTAACATCCAAGCAGTGCGACTGAATTACATGTATTTGTTTTTACTTTAAGTGTAAAGCTGATTAAACAAGCTTCAGCCAGGTGATCTTGAGAGAAAAGTATTGATCATTCCAGGCTCGATAAACGCTAAATAAAAAGGTTACACTAATTAGGAATATAAGATAAATTGTGTATCAACACATGAATCTTTTGAGGATCACTGTCACAAATGCATTTGTCTCAGAGACGCAATCTGATCATGATACATGTCTCCATGTATTCTCTTACGGATCTTTGGTGGTGGATTTGATCTTTTGAGAGCATTCGAGGCTGCATGTGTTCGAACCAACATTTAAGTTAACGAGGGAGACGGGTCAGAGAGCAGAGCAAAGAGGACGTGTCAACTGTCAAGTGCTTGTCAGGTTATGTAAATGCGAAGGCAGGAACACAGCGAGGACACCGCGCTCAGGGAGCTGGAAAACAATACGCGTCACCGTTCGAAATCAATCTCCTTCGATCCTCTGCAGCGACACGATCTTCCGATAGCCACTCACTGTCAAAGATACAGCGGCCCCTCGCAAATGAACATAGCTCAGCGGGCACGGGTGAAAAAAAAGAATACATACATGTTTATTTTACAAGAAGGGCACATTTCTTTCTTCTTCTTTTTTTTTGTACAAACTGTAAACTAAATACTGTTATTCAGAGGGTTATAATCTTTGACATCACGTTCATGAATGAACACCAGAAACATGTAAATAAATAAATATATAAATAGTCAGTGGCTGCTGCATCTTACTGTAAATGATGATCCCACACTGGGGAAAACATACAGCATGTAAGCTTGCTACACACATTAAGGATTCTTGAAGATAAAAAGCACTTGTGTTCATCACAACTACATTTTGAACATCATTGTACAATACTACATCCCTGCACTGCGAAAACCCGGAACGCTGCCATGTCATTTTTGCACACAAAGCTCCGTCACTGCACTGAAGTCGAGGTTTGAGTGAGCTGAAACGTCGCCAACACGCATCCCCACACATCCCCTGCGTCTGCTGCGTCCCCCCCCCCTTGTTCCGCCAATCCGAGGGAGGACATGGATCCCGCACCCGTCACGTTTGCTTAAGTTGTCATGCGTGGAGTAAGAGCACTGATTGCGAGGCCGTGTGGCGTCGCCGCGGCGCCCCGAAGCAGCGCGTGGGGCGGCCTGGAGGAAACGCTCTCGATCAAACAGAACATCTTGTTTGCGGGGCTGTTGCCTGACGTCGCTCTTCTCCAGCATCCAAGCGGCGGCATCTGGAAGGATGACTCACCGAGTTGACAAGGTGAGGCCTTGGGGGGAGTTGGGGGGGGGGGAGTTGGGGGGGTTCGCACATGGAGCCAAAACACAGCAGAGATCATTTCAACTCACAGCTGGAGGTACGTTTCTATAAATGTGTACATACAGCATATACGAAAAAAAGCATCCGGTTATCCTGTAAAAGCCAATGATGTCACAACAAATGGCAGATTAATCTCTACATCATTAAGATTACCCCCCCTCGCCCCACCCCACCCTCAAATTTCAGCTTATAAAACACTGGTGGGATCACAGGATAAGCTACATTACAGTCACATTCAGCCAAAACAAGTGTTTCAGCAACATTAATCATAATAATAGTAACAATAACACTAAAAACAGCCAGTTAGGGCTTTGATTCAGCGGTTTAACTCCAGCCACAGAACGGAGTGTGGAGGCCCTCTCTGTTTAATAAGAAATTCAAAATCTGTGTTAACATTGGGAACACTCATCAAGTCGACAGAGGCAGCCAAGAGAAAAGGAAAAGAGATGGAGAAAAGAGAAGGTGGGGTGGAGGTGGAAGGGAGAAAGCCAATCCTCCCCAAGGCAGTTCCCCTCCATGTCCAAGCCCGACAGATTATGCGCAGTTCATGTTTTTTCGCATGCTTGAACTTGCTTGTGTTTGGAAATAATTAGGGAGTGAATCAAGAAGAACCGAGGAAGAGAGAAAATGGACTGAGCTGAGCTGATATGGTTGAGAGTTTCTAAAAGGCAATGGAGTAGAGGAGAAGTATTCGTGGCACTTGAAATAGAATTTGATTACTCGGACATTTAAATTAACTCTGAACAGAAGATCTCTAATTCAAATTCCGGTTCTGTTTTAAAGTAATGGAGTAGCAGCCAGCAGCAGCCGGGGACGGGGCAGCAGAGAGGACAAAGAGTTGCTTTTGTGTCACAAGCCAAGTTACATATTGAGCTAAAAGCTTTCCCCTCCCGTTTTTTGCCATCTAGATAGCATTGGATTTTCCAGAGCAGGAAAATCAAACGCTTCATTCAAGACCAATTGCTTTCTATTGGATCAGCTCTTCCTTTGTGGGATGTGCAGTGCTTTCACGGCCACGTGGACACACGGGCGGACACTCAGCATACAATGTCAAAAAAGCGAGCTGTCCAGGCGTAGACGGAGAGCAATGATAATAATGTTTAGACTTTTCCTTCATTTAAATCCAGAAAAGGTCACCTATTGTCATTCAAATGATCAAAAGTAACGGTTTACTACATAATGCATACATTTGACATTATGTAAAGGTGATGAATGGGTTTTTTCCCACAAGCTCTAAATTCATATTCTTATGTTATTTGTCGCTATGTTTGTTTTTAATGGGCACAGATACACAAAACTAACTTAAAACGATGAAAATGATGTAAAATTTTACACCATTTTCACACTCAGAGGTTGCCTGGTGATGCTGACTTATTTTGCCTTATTTAAGCAAGCTGACCATCTGGGTGATCTCTGCATGTAAATGTATCTATAAATATACATATACACACATGCTGCAGTGCATGAAGAAATGACTGTGAGGGGAGTCTGATATCTTGAAGGTAATCCTCGCCATAGTGGTTGGTCTTGCAATGAAAACGCAATGACTGTCACACTGCATTGCTCTAAATCGCCACTACAGCACAGCGTGGCGGCCCAGCAGGAGTGATTTACAAAGTCAGATATCTGCAAGTTGGCAAAGGGCACCAAGTGTCACTTGAATTTCAGTGAACTCTGCTGCGGCCGCCCCCTCCGTCCCAGGGTGGGAGTTTTAGTTTACAGATTTCTAATTCTTTTTGAATTATTGACCGACTGCATTTGCTAAAAATAGAATAATAAGTACCACTTGAAGTTGGCAGAGTAATGAAATGGAGGGCTGCCAGAGGAGACGGTGAAGAGGAGGCGGACAGACAAAGAGAAAACGTGAAAAGAAGGCGCAGGTGTGAAGGAGCGGGCTGACCGAGCAACCGCTGGGGAGGAGGGAGGAGAGAAGAAGTTGACAACGCTGAAGAAATAAGGGCAGCATGAGGGAGGACGGGGCTTTGCTGACTGAGGGAAGGGGAGCAGGAAAACCCAAAGGAGAGGAGACTACAGGGCTCTGCAAAGGTGCTGGAGAGCGGCAGAGATGGGAGATGAAATACGGAAGAAAAGGAAAAGAAATGGAGCAAAGGTGTAACAGGATGGTCAGATTAGGATGCAAGGAAAGGATGGTAGACAATAGGAGAGACGTGTACCTATCTGTAGAAACTGAGAGATAACATGGGCAGGGGTGTAAAAATGAAATATATTAAATTCATAAATACATGACATGGCATCCGTTTCTGAACTCCATCATCTACCACCAGTCTGTTTTCGATTGAATCAGAATACTGTCACTTTGGTGTCTGAGGTGTTTTGATTTAGCAATAAAATGGTCATTAGAAATGTACTGAAGAGAAATAACTGCAACAAAGAACTATTATTCTGTACCAAAAAAAAAATCAATGTCCCCACATTGTTGTCTCTTCTGTAAAACACATACAAAGCACCTACCTACAAGACATTTTGCTAATAGTTACTAGATCTTCCTCCACTGTATATACTGTGTTTCAGTCCTTCCAGGATTGCGGCAGCACTGTACAGTATACACATGCAGATGTATACATTGTTGTAAATGTAAAAAAAAATGTATACAATTGCACAAAACTAGTGTTCTGCGTTGCTGTTCACATTATCAACATTTATCATAAAATGTGTTAATTTCATAAATAAATGCTGAGAGTATTTTGCAGATAGTTATATCCAGGATAAAGTGCCTTTACTTTAAAACATTCTGTAGGTTTTTCCATGTAGATTTTTGTTGACAGTCTTACGGTCCCGTGTATTCCCACTCAGTGTTTCCCTGTCAGGCGTGTTCCTAAAGGTAAATGTCTCTTTTGTCACTTTTTTCCTGTCCTCCTGCGTGAGCTTCTCCTCCCTTTGTGTGTACATCCATGCCTCGGTATACTCCGATCAATCTCTGCCCTCTCTCAACACGGCGCGGTTTTATGCTGTCCGTTCTGCGTTATGGGATTGATCTTTTCCAGCGTGACCTCAGCGTCGCTCTCCAAAGTCCCCGAGATGGCCGGGGAGAGTTTCTCCAGGGCGTTGTTTACCGTCCCCGCCTCGACTTCCAATCCGCACCCGTCCTTCTTCTGTAACTCCTCCTCCTGACCCAGGACGCTGTGGGGCATCGCGTAGTTGGCTGAATGGTTGCCCTCCTTCGGGATGTGACTCTTGGGCTGATACTGGCAGTTGGCGTGCTGAGCGGGGGCGCCCACGTTGTTGTTGATGCTGACGATTTCGATGGCGTTGCTCCCCGGGCAGAGCCGGTGGCAGCCCAGGAGGATGGAGAAGGCCTTGCGGAAGTCGGCGTTGAAGGCATAGATGATGGGATTTAGCGAGGAGTTTGCCCAGCCGAACCACACAAACACGTCGAAGGTGGTGGAGCTGATGCAGAAGAAGTCCGTGGTACCGTCTGGCGGCTCCGGCTCGCAGAACGGAACCATGCAGTTGAGGATGAAGAAGGGCAACCAGCAACACACAAACACTCCCATGATGACTGAGAGCGTCTTTAAGACTTTGGTTTCTCGCTTGAACGACATCTTGAATGAGCTCTCGCTTTCGATGCTGGCGCTGTTCCCCATGCTGCTGTGGCGGTTCTTGGCGCTCTCAGCCGCCCGCTCCAGAGCGGATATTCTCCGTATCTGCTTCTGGGCGATCCGGTATATCCGGGTGTAGGTGACGATCATGATAGCCACGGGGATGTAGAAGCTGATGAGGGAGGAGGAGATGGCGTAGGTCCTGTTAAGGCTAGAGTCGCAGTTGTCGGGGGGCAGGTCGCCGATGAACGTCCCATTCAGCGCCGCGTAGCTGGTGGTCTGAGCTTTGTGCCAATTTAACTGAACGGGTATAAAGGAGATGAGGACCGACAGGGTCCACGCCACGCTGATCATCAAACACGCCACTTTAGGGGTCATCTTGCGCTCGTAGCGGAATGGGCTCGAGATGGCCCAGTAACGGTCTACGCTGATCACACACAGGTTTAAGATGGAGGCAGTGGAGCACATGATGTCAAACGCCACCCACACGTTGCAGAAGGCGCCGAACGGCCAGAAGCCCACAATCTCGGTCGCCGCCTTCCACGGCATTACCAGGATAGCCACCAGGAGGTCCGAGATGGCCAGCGAGATAACGAAGAAGTTGGTGACCTTCGACCTCAGGTGACGGAACTTGGTGACGGCGACGCACACCAGCGTGTTGCCTAGCAGCGTGGTGAAGATGAGGAGGAAGAGGAAGCATCCCGTCAGCACGCGCTTCGACGAGTCCCGGTCCGGCAGCAGCTGCTTTCCATCTCGAACCGTTGAGAAATTCTGATCCATTGTTTATGTTGCAGTGCTAGTAAAGTGAGATAGGGGGGTGGGTCAGGGGGGTGTCAACAGTCACCCCATCACATCCTTAGCCTGCAGCAGCTGTGCCTCTCTGGGGAGGAGTTTTAGACGGACGGTGTAGCTGGCGGAGAGGTCAATTGTCTCGGCACCAGCTCTCCCACGGACTCGGTCATCCATAAGCTCCTTGTCACAACCACCATCGTTCCACCAAGAGCGGCTAAAAATGTTTCAGAAATGCCGCCCGGCCCCCAAAAGCACCTGGTTCAAAAATCCCTCCTGTGGTGGACATTCTCGATGGAAGAGGAGGAGGTATATTCCAGCTGATGTTCGCAGTTATTTTTCCAAGGACGGTCGTCGTGAAAGAGTGTAAAGCAGCAGTAAAAGTGAACTCATGGTTCATGTTTCTGCTCCCTCTGGATGCCTCAAAGTTTCACAGCATGTAGTTGCCGATCTGTTGGGAAAACAGAGGCTCGGCCAATCACTAGCCTTTTATACAACATCATCAATAACTTCTATCGACGGTTTTGGCGCTGGGTTTGTTTGATTTGTTTAATGATCCTCTAGGCGTGTCCATGTGATTATATTGGTGCCTGTAGAGAAGCCGACGCACCCCAGCTACGAGGCGTCGTGTTTGGATTTTGTTTGTAAATTATTACAAATGCCTAATTGACTGCGGCTGCCCGTTACTACGTGGCACAGCATTTCCCAAAGCAAAATGGCAAAAAAAAACGAGGCTGAAAAATGCATTCAAAAGTCCCAGCAGTCCATTGCGAGATCACGGAGATCCATATTACGCGTTTAATTCATCCCATGTAGGACCGCAGCTCTTTTAGTGCTGACATTTCGCGGTAATCCAGATTCGAGGTGGTTTTTCCGCCCTTTGGCTTCAGTTCGCTTGCCCATTTGTGTGGGCACAACAAAACCGTTCAGCTTTCAAAAACATTCAAGTGTTATTCGGGCCACCCACCCAAAGTATCCGTGTGTTTCCGTCTCACAGACACAATCACAACAGTCTATTTTTCTCGTTTTCTGAATCGTTAGTCCCCGTGCGCTCCGCTCCGTGGATGGTGATCAGTTCAGGACCCAATCCAAAATCAACCCTGTTAATTGAACTGACTAAAAAAAAACAATTAGTCCGGCCAAAGTCCACATCACTTCGGTTTACATCCAACTTGTATCTTGGAACCAACGGAAGGAGCTCACCGTCTCCGCGCGCGCTGGAGGCTCGCTCTCCTGTTGCGACGGTCCTCGGGGCGTTTTATCGGTTTCATCAGTCCACGTGCGTCTCTCTACTACACCTTCATCCTAGTTTCGTGCGGTATGCTGTTCTCCCTGTGATGTGACCGCGGTCCGACTGGCCGTGCGGAGAGTGATGGCAATGACTCGGGTCTCTCCAAAGAGCCGTCCTCGTGCGCGCTCCTCTCTCTCCGCTCAGCTGCGGCATGCTGCTGTGCGCCGCAACTGCTCCATCTATCCAGGGAGGCTGTGAAGGACGAAGCGGCCCAAATGTTCACCGTACGTCGCTATCTATATTTTTCTGTTAAGGCACATAATGAAGAAAAAAAAAACTTTTCGGCCTAAATGTAGGACAAATAAGGAGTATTGTGGGACAATACATCCAGAGAGAAAACATAAGCTTACTTTTTTCAGAATCTTAAAATATGTACATTTTTGCCTAAAACACGGTTAATATTTGTTCACTCACAAATCGGCAACACGAACTCACTCTCTTACGTGTTATGAAATAATAATGCTTTTATCAGCTCCACTCACAACCCCCGGCATCATATTAGTGCTGTAAAGTCCCAAAAGGGAAAGAAGGGCTAAAACTCAAGGTGTCTTAATGTCCTGAGATGAACCTGTAGCCAGCAGGCATTCACACAGAGGCACAATGAGGCCATCTACTGGATACACGAGCTGCAGAGTAAATAAACGTGACTGAACAACTATGAATTAGATCAGAGTCCCACGAGCCACTGCAGCAGGAAGACCCAGGAGACAGCTAGTGTTGAGATATGTGTGTGTGTGCGTGTGCGTGTGCGTGCGTGTGTGTGCATACAAGGGGGAGTGGATGTGAATTACAGAAACTAATGCTATTATGCCGTTAGCTGCTGCCTGACAGAAATCCTCAATGGACTCCGTCCTCCTGTGTTTGTGACTTTTGGTATGCATGTGTGCTGACTTCACGACCGAGCATCTCTGTGTGTGCTTGTGGATCTGTGTGTGTGTGTGTGTGTGTGTGTGTGTGTGTGTGTGTGTGTGTGTGTGTGTGTGTGTGTGCGCGTGTGTGAGTAATGCGTGTAGACAAGCCAAGTGTAAGAGGCCTGGCAGACACAACGCCCACATTTCCCTGTAGCACAGAGCCAGGGTGTGCGTGCAGCCGACAAAGTTCAAACCAAGACCACGTCACACACAAAAACACACACACAGAGTCACTCACGCAGGCACACACAACCAGCCATGCAGGGTAATTTATGTCTGCTCCAAAAAGCAAACAAAATAGAATAAAATGAAAGATTATAAATGTCTTTTTGGGATGACTTTTTGCCTCACAGATATATGGGTCAGATGTTTCATTCGTCCATTGATCTGTCCAAACATGACTTTACAGTATTGGCTTTCTCTGTGATTTCCCGTGTGGCGCCCCACATTAAGAATGTGCCAACATTTAAAACAAAAGCATACCCTGTAGTCATCAGGCTCTGTGCATCACCATTCATACCAGCGTACGTCTCTCATGATTCATTGAATGTCCTTGATGCATTTGAAATGCAGGAGTCTTCTGACGCGCATCTGCTGGTTTGATTCAATTGAATGCAGCCAGCTTGCTAATGAACCGCCTTCACGAAACTTTGAGTAACTTTGCGTGAAGTTTAGCGAGTGTGGCAGCTCCCCTTCCGAGAGGAAGTTAATCAAGAGGCTTCATTTTCCCTGCTGCTCATCTTCCGTCATTCCTACAGGCAAAGCGGCGGTGGAGAAAAGCTGAAACTCGCCAAAAAGGCTGATGTAAATTACTTTTATGTCAAAGCTTCAGAAATGATAACTGCAGCCAGAAGGGGCGCGTGCAGCCAACATGCATCATTCAGCAGCACACAAATCAATGTTTATGAGTTTTGTTATTCACATCTGAATTTTAAAAATCTGGTTTTGTGTATCATCATATTTAGGAGGCGTGTTTAATCAAATGTCAGGTGGCTGCCTTCATTTGAATTGCACATCTGGTGCAGTACATTTACAGCAGTTATTGTAGCAACCAATTAAAATTATAGCTTTTTTTTGCATTTACCAGAGGCTGCCTTCATTACTCATTAGCTGAAGTCTTTTTTTTTCTTTAAAAAAATGTGGGCAATCAACTAAAAACAGTGGAGAATACTTAGCTTCCTGTGATAAGATCTGTTCAGAAATTCTATTTAAAATGACCATAATCATAGTGATCAGGGCCACAGCAGTGTTTACAATCAATGTACTGTAGATATCCAATCAGCTGTATCGCGGATCACTTTTTTACATAGTAGGCTACATTGATTTTTCCAGTCTTACAATGAATCTATTTTACAATGAAAAACAAGTGTTAAGTTAAGTGTTGGTGACATTAGTGATACACATGCAGCAAAGATCTCCCACACACACACACATGCACGCACACATACAGTACAGTACATGCGCTCTCACTTTCTCTTCCATATCATCTCTGTCTCTGTTCCAGCGCTCAGGCGCCACGTTGCCGTCCAAGTGTCCAGCGAGAAGGAAATGCTGAACTTAATTCTCCTGTGTGGTATCCACATGTATTTGGTACTTTATTATATAAGCTTAGTTCTGCTCACAGAGAAGCTATTCTATTTTGGTCTCTTTAAGTTATTGGGCCCGTATTTTGTACTTTTAGTAAGAGCTAAAACTGTATTTATTACACTCATAAAAATAAGACAGAGGACACATCAGGCAATGGGCAGAGTAAAAAAATGCATTTTCCAACATTAAAATGATGCCATTGGTCATTAAATTAATTTACATTCATGTTAGAGCTTCACATCCTTTTAAAAATGCCATTAAATGTACTGTTGTAATATTTGTGTGTTTAATCTCTGTAGATTCCAGTTATGCACGTACACACTCTATTAAGCATTTCTGCTCAGCTTCTTTTTTTCTGCGCATCCTCCCTCGTCACTTTATTTTGTGTCTGAGGATAATAAATTCACAACAGTTCAGGATATTTGTACCATCTGTTGGGAGTTTAATTTAATAAAGTATGTTCATGAAGAAGTGAACGCATCAGTCACGCAAACGGTCAATCTCTAAACATGAGATGGGGGCGGACACACTATCTGTCTATCTATTCACCCATCCAACCATCTATCAGAATTATCCAGCACATTTGCCAACCATCATGGATTATGTAATAAATTAGACTATTATAGCAGAAATGTTTACTCATCTGTCTTCACCTCTCTTGTTGCAGGTTGCACACATTGTTGCAGCAGTTATTTAGTTCTTGTTATGGTCGGTATAAACATTGCCTTTCAAAAGTATTTCCTGCTTCACTTTTTAAAACATTTAAACGTTTTTTATATTTTGAACTTGTGCAAAGAAAAGAAACAAACCTACAAGAAAGCATTACAGCAAATTTAGGTTATAGCAATGCTTTGTAATTGTTTCAACTTCTTAATTATTTTATTGTCAAGTGCTACAAAAGGTTTTCTCTTCTCACCTCTTTTGTCACATTTGATTATGCATTAAGTAATATTCCTCCATAATTGTCTTTCTTTCCTGCTAATCAGAGACAGGGGCCCCTTTTTAGCACTGCCTTGTTCAGCTATTAGTTGTTTGTGTCATGGGCCCCCGAAGAAAATTAAAATAATTATGCAAACCGATTTTTCATTTTCAGTCAAATAATTGCCTGTTGTGTGAGTATTTTTTTCTCAAACCCGATGAGGTTTAATTTGATATGTTTTGTATCTTTTATACATCTCTTGAATCAATAATGTCCCACGAGCTGGCAAATCTCACCAAAGGATCAGAAAATTGTATTTCTGAAATTTTAATCATAAAGGGAATTCATTCATTTGAGTCAGTCACACGCACACACAGACACACACACACACACACACATGCAAACACACAGCAGAAAATAGCTTGCCACCAGACCCCTTGCAAAGACAGCTTTGCAGCTCAGCCTTAATGTGCAGCTTACGTTCTGCTGTGGATTGAACACAAAAAGTTTAACTTCAATGTGACTCGTTCTACGCTCGCTGGTCAAGTTCCGAACCAACTGTGACCACTGACGTAACCCTATTACCACATTTTTATTCGTGCCAGAAGAAGATTTAGCTTGTCTCATTACATGAATATTGTAAAATTGTATTGTATTGTTCTACCACATTAGTAATATCCAAAAATGGCTATTCTGGATATTCTGACCCACAATCCCTATGAGCAAGAGGGTCACCGTTGTTGGGGCCATGTTATGAAGAAGTGGTTTGCCCCAATAAATGAACAAATGAAGACGTTGTCAGGGCATCTGCTCTGCATTCTAAAAGTACAGGAGTGTTTGATTTGGAAAGTAACTCTCAAGTGATTTTGTGGCCTTTAACTTTAATTGAGTTTCACAGCCCTCTATTCGAGTCTTTCTGGGATCTGAAGATATAAAAAAATAATTCGGAGAGACATCAATACAGCAGTTTTCATTCACTGCTGTCTATGTCATTCAGATACAGCCATACGAGGGATAACGTTAGAGAAAGGAAACCATTAGATACTCTGCAGAAAATGCTAATGGTATGTTTTACAATGTTAGGATTAGAAGAAAAGGGGATTAAACATGTATGGAGGCTGTCAGATAATGTAAAAGCACCTCAGCAGATTCATTTTTAAATCCGATTTAAATTCCATTCCCCTTTTCCCCCTCCCACTCTTTGTCGCGGTGGTCAAGTTGTTTGCCGTTGTCCCATCAATGCTGTGTCTCTTCTGACACCACCATTCCTCAGCTTGGAAGGCTAATTTATCTCCCATTGGCAGGTCCAGACAATTTACACCTTCTCTCGCCGGTCTATGGCGCTTTCTAGAATACTCTGTTTGAGTATTTAGTGCCATAATAGCTGAGATAGCAGTGTGTGTGTGTGTGTGTGTGTGTGTGTGTGTGTATAATTCAGTCAGCTGCTGTGTGCCTCCCTAATCCCCGTGCAATAGGCCGTTCTCATGGAGGACGTGTTAACTCAGGTGTGACTAACAACATTAACAATGGCTGCATTCCATTTGGCCATAGCAATTTCTCACGTACCATATTTTGACATAGGACAAAGTAAACATTGGCGTGTAAAAAGTAATTAATGATAGCTGAATTCTATTTCATTAGCTTCCCTGTCATCGGCAGAAGTGATGATTCCTCATATCAAACAATGCACCCGGATGTCTGTTTATCCTTCCATTTAAAATGACGTAAGCTAATTAAAGACATGCTTTAGAGGTCAGGTCTGCGCTGAAAAGGTTGATTAAGTCCTCTTTGTTAGAGTTATTTCTGTGAGCAGTTAACGCAAAGTGAAAATATAATTTGCATAGTGTGTTAAAGACCTGTTTAAAGTATTCAATGCATGAATACGAAATAACTCATAACACACAAACATTATTTTTATAAATAACTCACAGATTTTTTGCTAGTTATGTTGTGCTGTGGAGAGATATCAGATTGAGCCCGTAGCGAATAGTCAAGCAAACCCAAGCAACCAAATCCACAGGATGTGACGTAGTTAGATGATGAGTCGATGTTGAATCTAGACCTCGTAGTGCCTGTAGCTGTTTAGTGCTTGGAAAAAACTCTGGGTGACTATTGTTCAAGCCGCTGTCACCATTTAGAGGTATTCATGTTGAAGGAAGCGGCTCACAGAAGCCTTATTCATAATTAAGAAGCATTGAGGTCTGTTTTAGTGTTGCTTAACAGTTTCAGCGCTTTGGGAAACACACCTTTTTGCTTTCCTTTCCTCGAGTCGTCTGTCTGCTCGGAATGAAGCCGGGCAGCCAAAGCGTTGTTGGTAAAAAAAATGTAAAAAAACAACACTCGAATTAGCTTAATGAAATGGTGGTTGGGTTCGGAGTCATTTTTTAAAACCTGCTAACTCTTTTCACAAAGGTGTCATGAGCACAGCTGCAACTAATCAGGTGAATAATGGATCCATGTGATTCAGGTGTGCCAATGTACAAGCGCTGACAATATTTACCTGCATTGTCAGGCAAATATTGGTAATGGGCTCAGAGTTAATTGCTTGCAGCAGCCTGTTATACAATTTATGTGGATTCTTTTCTGTCTCTGCATCTGGGGGATGCATGTGGAATGGCAATGGTTGGAATTAGAGATCAAGCAATATGCTGGAGAGAAGCACCAGGTGTGACATTTACGGGGGATTACAGAACAATCTTAATGACGATCCTGGTTCTTTAATAGTGTTGAACATATTAAACGAGACAGAATGAATAGTCTGAAGAACAAGTTTAAACCCTGCCTGCGTTATCACTTTCGCACATCCGGTCAGTAGGGGATTGACAGCTTTCGTTACCCAGATAGCCCAGTTAGCCAGAGATAGCAGCAACATCTACTCCCCTGATGGAGGCATGTTCAGCTACGGGCGGTCAAGCTGTATCCGGTCTTTACATTACATAACATTTAATATACTGCAATGGCCTTGGCTGCCTTTTTGACTCAAACCGAGCGAGTAGATGTGCAGCCATTCGTGAGGACAAAGAGCCGGGTCTTTGTGAAGAGCTGAAAGTGGTTCCTAAGAGGGAGTTTTCTCTTAATATTATCTGATGGGAGTAAAGTGAGTTCAACAAAAGAGGATTCAACCCAACGGAAGCTTGTGTTGGAGTTTCTCAAAGCCTTTTCCGCACAAGACGTCATTGAAAAGAAGAGAAAGAAAAGCAGTTAAGACAATTTAGTCTTTAAGCCCCGACCAGATGTCAGTCACAAAACCAAACCAAAAGAATTAACTACTTGCGAGGGAACTCTGGAATGTTCTAAAAGTTTGAAGGGAACTGAGGCATAGAGGCAATGCACCATGCAGCTTGAAACAATGATTATCTGTTTTAGCTCAAGTGTAAATAAAATAATAGAATGCTGGAAATGGATGTAAAAAGAAACGGCAAATAATGTAGAGGTGAGTGTACCAAGAAGAGGTCGTATCACTGATCATTGGCTGCTGGATACGAGCGGGAAACGTTGCTTTTCAGAACTCAATCCGTCTCTATTTTAGGCTTACAACCATCTTAAGGCCACCGGCCAAAATTGTCCTATACTCTGAGCACTCAGTGGAGAAGTTATTTGAAAAACAGTTGGTTCCAAAGAAAATACGACTTGCTTTCAAGAATTATTGTTGGTTACTCTGCTGTGACAAAGTAAATGTATAGTTTCAATTCTTCCTGCACCCTGAGAGGACCTTCAGTTCAGTGACCTTTTCTTCCTCTTTCATATCAACCATCTCTTTCTCTCGCTTTCTCTCTCTCTCTCTCGAAACGTTTCCCAGCGCACCGACACAGCGATGCCATTTTACCATTAAAACAGTCGCTCAGGAATCAATTTTGCTAGAGTAGTTTATAAAATGTCAAACAAAAGACTAGCCAGTGAAAGGACGGCCGCCGTCAGACTACAGCATCTCACCTATTTGTTTAAAAGAAAATAATGGATTTCAAACACCTTCTCCACAGTTAGTTTCTCTCCTTTGAGCTTCTCCCACATGTTCCTTTGAGGCCCCGCTTCCTTTTTCCATCCTTCTATCTTTACTGGCTCCGGAGAGGACCAGCTGGTTCGTGTGATCATCAAAAACGCTGAGTAAACCAATTCCATTAGCCATGACCGTGGGCATGTAGGATTAAGCTTTCACACTCAAGCACATAAACATGATAACACTCACGTACACATATACCTCCAGTGGGCCAACACGAGAAACAAGGTCATGGCATTTTCATGACGGGACAAGATGAAAATAGAAAAAGGGCCATGAGCTCGATGGACTGAGGCACGATGAGTCAGTGGGCTGATAACGCAGACAGACTGAATCAGTGGGCCGAAAGCAGAAGGTGGTTTGTGTGTGTGAGTTTGTGTGTGTGTGGCTTATTTCAAGGGGGATGGAGCAGAGAGGAAGTCAGAGATATGATGTACTCTGGTCTTTAGGGGTTTAGCTGCAGGTGGTGGAACACCAGTCCTGTAGGTCCCTGTGGATGTCAGCAAACTGTTCTTCATACTCCAAACAGCTCAGAATAAATCACGTCCCTTTATCCCAATTAGAGCTGTTCTTTCTCTCTCTCCCTTTAACACAAATCCCCCCAGCCTCCTCACACACACATTCAGTTTATCTGCAGTCTTGAGAGGTGTATGCTCTTTTTTTTAATTAACTTTTGATTAAATGTGTAAGAATGAAGATTATTACTTCTTTTTTATTTTTTTAAGATCTTTCATTTTTCTATTCCATAAAAGTATGCTACTCTGTATCAAGCGGCTTTTAGGCGTGGGCTTGGAACGTAGGCATCTTATTTCTATCAAAGTGGCTTCTGAGATACTGCAATGGCAAACAGCCTGAAGCTATCGCAGCAATGTTCTTAACAAATGAGTGAAGGGCAAAATGGGGAGAGGAGAGAGCAGATCATGGTTTGATCTGTGGGATTTTGGCAGCTGTGGCTTTTCAACAGAGAAACACTGTCCTCTTGTGGAATAAAGTTGTAAAATGAGAGATTGCCAGCAACATTTTGAGTACTATAAACCTACTTGAATAGCTATATATATATATATATATATATATATATTTATATCAAGCTGTTTTAGTAAATGACTGAAACTTAATAAACAAATTATTAGAAATAAACAATAATTTAACTCTCCAGTAGAACCAATGGGCTTGGGTACAATACAATAATACCAGCTATCCTATTGTATTTTTATGAGAATTTTAGGGATGCAAGTCCCATAATAATTCCCCTACCACAAGTAAAGACATATATTATATTATTCTCTCAGAATACAGATACGATTTTTATAATGGCATATACGTATTACAAGGAGGTGAAGGAGAAGAAAAGTGACTTTCCCGTGAAAATAAGCAATTTCACATGTTTCTTGATTTTGGGCTGTACAAAATAAAATGAATGGATTTGAGTGTGCATTGCCGTTCTATAGGTTTCTATTCTATGCTCACGTTCCCAGACCCGGAAGTAAGAGGTTGCCGACTACGTCATATTTTTTTCAGCGCGAAAACTTTACTTTCGCTTGTGAACCACAACAACACCGGTAGGAGGGATACATTCAGGGCAAACACACGCACACACGTCTGCACTCTTCGACCAAGAATCATTCTCGTTTGACCCCGCGGGGAAACGCTTTGTTGAACAGTGAGTCGCTCAGTATGAAATACTGCAGCTTAGCACGTCGATTAGCCATACTAGCTACTTAGCATTAGCTTGCCGAGTTGACAGACAGCCACGAGTATGTTCACGTGAGCTGTAAGGATTAGACCCAGCTGGCTCATGCAAAGCTAAACTAAGAATGTAACCATGCCAGGTTAAAATTACATTCAGCAATTCACATTTAAAGTAGGCTAAGACCCGTTTTCTTCAAATTTAGGGTTCAGAGAGATGTCTACAATGCAGTTAACGATAAAACAGAGATCCTAGATGGGAAAAGAGATGATGTTCATTGTGAAAGGATGATACCGTATTACAGTACACATTCCATCGGCCTTATTTCTCAATTGTTTCAATAGCAAGACCATAAATATACAACAGTTTTACGGTCTATTGAGTTTGTTCACACTGTCAAACTATCTTCACATGATTCATGTAAAAATATATTGTAAATCTAAATCTTATGAAATTTAGCAGCTCAAAAATGTATTTTTGATAACAATACTTTATTGATAACGTGCATCACCAATTTTGTTCTATTATCCTGAAAATCAGTGTAGCTACAGATATATTTTAGGTGAATATTCTCCACGTGCTCTTGGAGAATATTGAGTTTTTCCTCCTCCTCACTTTATTCCTTTTATGTTTTTCTCTTTCAGAAAGCCAAAATGTCAAAGATAGACAAGATGAGCATCCTCGGGGTGAGGAGCTTTGGGATTGAGGATAAAGACAAACAAGTCATTACATTCTTCACCCCGCTGACCGTGCTGGTTGGACCCAACGGAGCAGGAAAAACGGTACGAGTTCCGGAGAGAGCGAAGGTTGATTGTGAAGCCTGACCTGTACAGAAGAAACAAGAAAGTTAGACCGCATGTGCTTTTATATTTTGCATGAAGCTAGGGCAAAAAAAAACAGAACAGGTATTTCAAAATGAGGACCGGCTACGTCATATTTTTAGGACATAAACGTTTTTGTTTTCTGTTTCCAGACTATTATTGAGTGCCTGAAGTATGCCACGTCAGGAGAACTTCCCCCTGGATCTAAAGGAGGTGCATTTGTTCACGATCCAAAGGTCAGCTGGCTCCATTGTACTTCGAGGCATAATACGCTTGGATACGCTCTTATTTTATTAAAATGAAACGCGTCTCGCTCCATCGAGTGTTTAACTAACACTGAAGGAAATTTCATAACAAGAGCAAACGTAGTATGAATTAAGTTGTTTGAATGTACCCACCTATCATAATATTAAATAACTAGATTATGCATTTTATTATTTCAGCTTTCGACTTTTTTTTATTTATTTGGATGTATGTATCGGTGTTTGAGATGGCTTCATCATTACAACAAGTTAATTTATGTTTTTGTTTTTTCATTTTCCCTTACTATTTGAATCCTAACCGTATATCACCTGTCAGATGTGAACCACTTAGGCTGCCTTTGTTGAAGTGAGATATTGCTGTGTGAATACCAGGACGCCCACGAGACGGACGTGCGGGCACAGATTCGACTCTTATTCACCGATGTCAGCGGAGAGAAAGTGACCATCAGCCGCTCCATGTCCTGCACTCAGAAGGCAAAGCACTACACCTTCAAAAGCTTGGAGCAGGTCATTTCCAGGATAAAGTAAGCAGCAGCAGCAGCAACAACAACAACAACAACAAATACAAAAGGTTTCTGGACTGATATTTACCGTACTTAACCTTTTTCCCACCATGTGACCTTCTTCCTCGTTCGCCCAGGGACGGGGAGAAAAAGAGCTTGTCGTCAAAGTGTGTAGAAGTGGATCGCGAGATGATCTCCGCAATGGGCGTGTCGAAGGCTGTGCTGAATAACGTCATCTTTTGTCACCAAGAAGAGGCCAACTGGCCGCTTAGCGAGGGCAAAGCGCTCAAAGAAAAGTTTGACTCCATCTTCGCTGCAACCAAGTAAAGACCACGCGTAACGCTCGCCTTCAGAATGGTTATGTTTGGACGTCATGTATTAAATATTTATAGAAATATTTACCTGCCTATCGCTTTTACATGAGGGAACTCAGTATTACTTTATCTGTGTTTCCTCTCAGGTACATCAAGGCTCTGGAGACGATGCGTCAGCTACGTGTCAAAAAGGGTCACACGGTCAAAGAGTGTCAATTGGAGTTACGCTACCTGAAGCAGAATAAGGAGAAAGCCCATCAGATCAGGGAAACCGTGGCCACCAAGGAGGCCCAGCTGATGGCGTCTAGAGACAGCATCCAGCAGATAGAGCGCCAGACTGAGCCACTGGAGGTTGGTTGTGTGTGTTGATGCAACTGGAGGTTGGTTGTGTGTGTTGATCAAGTCCAAAGATTGTTGCGTTGGTGTGGCGATCTTTCCCACAAAATAGATTTCTTAAGCTTTCTGACATTGTGCTATGAGTTTGCCCAGACTTTTTAGTAATTTTAGCATCACACACACTCTGAAGTATTTAGTTCAAGCAAATGTTTATCTGAATAAGAGACATTGATGGGTGCACTGATACATTTGCAAGCAGACCACTTATCACATTATTTTTCACTGTTTTAAATGTATTAATACAGAAGGTGAGAGAAACGTCTTCATTTTGCAGCTGTTCTGCAAACATTTTACTCAAAAGCAATTGTTAGATATTGGATTATCAATCAATTCACAAATGTATAACCAAGTAAAATATGAATCAAGTGAGTTTCAGTAAAAGATATACTATCCTGAGAAGTAGACGTGAAAGCATTTTGGTCAACTGGAGAGCCCAGCAGCTACGACCCAACTTTTTCTATTGATATTTTTCAGGCTCGAATGGCCGATATAGAGACAAAACTGGGGAAAGTAATGAAGCTGGACAATGACATCAAAGCTTTAGACAGCCGGAAGAAACAGATGGAGGAAGATAACAAGGAGCTGGAGGAAACCATGGAACAGGTAACATAACATCAATTAAACTACAGTCGTTATATAGAAATGGCACTAAAAGCAGTGCTCAACCTCCAAAGGACTCTGATTATGGAGGCAACACATTGCCAAAAATCCTTTTTGGAAACCTGCTAAGCCGTCCCCATTGAGCTTCAGCGCCACTCTTAAGCCAGTGAACTGTGCACGCCGCAGGTGTTCCAGGGTTCAGACAAGCAGCTGCAGGATAGTTACCAGAACCACCAGAGGACTGTGAGAGAGAAGGAGCGCAGGTTGACTGAGTGCCAGAAGGATCTGGAGAAAGCTGGACGGGAGTGTCAGAGACTCCACAGAGTCAAGGCTGATCTCCTGGTAGAGCAAGGTACCCACACCACGCATCATACATGCACACGTGTCCCAGTCTTAAGTAGCGTTTTGCTGAATTTCCCAGCCCGATATAAACTCCTGTTCTAGATCTCCCTTTAAGGCAGCATTGTTTGGTGGCATGCAACTTTTGTGTGCACTGGATGGATGTCGAAACAAGTCCTGCTGTTCTCTCAAAGAAGGATGGACAGGAGGATGGGAAAACAGGTCTTCTGTCTATTTTCTGAAGTTGGCTGCTAAAATCCACCTCTCTTTTTGCAGGTTCTCTACAGCTGAAGGCTGACCACCACACTCAAAACATCAAGAACCGGGACAATCAGGTGAGAGGGGAGTAAGGCTGTCAAAATTGCTCAAAAATAACATTCGAATATTCGCTTTAAAAAAAGACATATTTGAATATCTGGTTGCGCATTAGGCACGTCAATGACAGGACAAATTTATAAAACAAGGCATAACTTCGTGTATAGGTAATTTGATTTAAGTTTAAACATATTTAAGAACATATTACCTACACAAAAAAGAGGAAAAATTAACTAACGGCACACACCGCGGACCTCTCGCTCGCCCTCTCTCTCCCGCACCGCCGCGCTCTCTGCCCATAGCCGTGAATGACAACAATAAACAGTGCTGATCAAGAGTTTTGTGGTTTGCAATAAGGACACATTTAATTAAGAATATAAAAGCATGTTTGTCTAAAAACAAAAAGAATGCTCATTTTAAAAGTTGCGTGACAGAAATCCTTGCTTATATCTCGTTCTCAGGTTCGCTCGTTGTCGTCCTATCTGGAGATGGAGGGTTTCGACCGGCCACCCTTCAGTGCCCTTCAGCTAGAGAGCTTCCATCAGCACGTCGCACAGAGACTTGAGCAGGAAAGAGTGGCAATCAATCAGGTTATGGTAAGACAATACAGATATCTACTTTAATTATTGCTGTGGCATTTAACACTGTTAAACAGCAACTTCAACGGTTATTTCAAATTGAACTCTAACCCGCAAGAAATATTTTAGATTCAGCCAGTTCATGAATATTTCTGTCTTGCTAATGTAATAGCTGATTCCTTCCTCTTATTTCTCCCGCCACTCAGGCCGACCTGCAGGAAAAAGAGCAGCAGAAGCAGCAGTCCATTGATGAAATGAGGGACAAGAAGACTGGCCTGGAGAGAACAGCGGAGTTGAAGGGAGACATGCAGGGAAAGAAGCAGCAGGAACTGAGGAACATCAGGGCAGAGCTGCAGAGGCTGGAGGGTTCGTCCAGCCGCCTGCAGGAACTGGAGAACGAGCTGGCTAAAGTGGTGGGTGTACACACGCGGGCTGTGATGAGGTGGTTTGCATTTCCAAAGGGAGAGAGTGCGTATGTAGGTATGCTTTTTATCTGTTCTGTTGTTTTTTTGATTGTCACCCTCTTTCCAGTTGGATAACTTTTGCAAAATACAGTATGAAGCAGCAAGATCAGCTAAGCGGATAAAAATGCTTGTGTTTTTGTTTCTTTCTCATCCTCAGGAGCGTGAGCTGAAAAGTGCAGTTCAGAGCTCCAACGTGGAGGCGCTGAAGGCGGAGGTGGTGGAGCTCCAGAGCGAAAAGGTTGAACTTGACCGCACACAGAGAAAGCTCGACCAGGAGATGGGGATGCTCAATACGCACACCACCGCACGCACCCAGATGGACATGCTGAAAAAGGACAAGGTAATATGTCATCTAAACTCATTGGAAGGCAACTGGTGTTGAGAATTCTCCTCTTCTCCTATTGTTTCTCCCTCCTACTCCTCCCTAAGTGATGGAGTGGCCCCTTTAAACCCGGGCGTAACGTCTCCTCGCCCTCCTTTTTCCTCTTTATCCTCCCTTCCTAACCTGTGCCTTTCCTTTCCTCTGTGAGATCTCCGCTCATCTTCCCTCTTACTTCATTCCTCCAGACGGAGAAGGAGGAGCAGGTTCGTAAGATCAAGTCTCGCCACAGTGAGGAGCTGGTGTCATTGCTAGGCCACTTCCCCAACAAGAGAGAGCTGGAGGACTGGATCTATGGCAAATCTAAGGAAATCAACGGTACCAGGGACAGACTTTCCAAACTCCAGTTAGTACCACTTATTTACAGTAACGCTCACAACGCAAGAAACACAAATGTGAATGCAATCGGTTGTATCATGCTGTCATTCTCACAACACCCAGTAAGGACCTGGCATCCAGTGAGCAGAATAAAAGCCACATTGCTGCTGAGGTGCGGAAAAAGGAGCAGCAGTTAGCCAGCGACGAAGAGAAGTTCTTCAACGTGTGCGGCAGTCAGGACCTGGAGCAGGACCTGGGCAAACTACGAGAGGATCTGGAGAAGATCTCCAAACAAAGAGGTGTGCGCCTCGAAATGAAAATGAGAAGGAGTCTTTAGACTTTCACGTAAAGAGATGTCACTTGAGGTTTCACAAAAATAAGAAACAGATCTGTATATTGTTTATTTGAGATGGTCCCCTACCTATGCCCCTAACCTCAACGTGGCAGGACTTCATTCAAAACATTCACCTCACTCACAATGAAATGGAAAATGTGGTGTCCTTAGCATGTGCACCGCTTTTTACTGAACATCCAATGCTTTCCATTTGCTGGATAAGTGTAATGCATCAATATGACACTATTCGGTTAATGGTGGCAGTGATCGATGCTCAGAGTGGATATGCCGGTTACTCTTGACGTGTTGCAGACATAGAAGTATGTTAAGTAGTAGTAACATATGCATTCTCTCTTCCTCTCACCTGTGTTTTTGTAGCCATGCTAGCCGGAGCCACCGCTGTGTACACGCAGTTCATCAGCCAGCTGACCGAGGAGACGGAGCCCTGCTGCCCCGTGTGCCAGCGGACCTTCCCCTCCGACTCTGATCTGCAGGAAGTCATCAGCGACATGCAGTCCAAACTCCGCCTGGTGCCCGACAAGCTGAAAAACACAGAGCAGGACCTGAACAGGAAGGAGCAGCGGAGGGATGAGATGATGGCTCTCCGACCTGTCAGGTATGAAGACAGTCGGCTCTCTGACACAGATGGTGTGATAGCGCCACTAGAGTACAGGCCTCCTGGGATATATATATGTGAAATCTACTTTCAGATGAAGCTGAGACTAAAAACTGTCTCTTTTCGTAAGTGCAACTCAGTGACCTGTGTGTCCTTTGGGAGCAAAACAGTCAAAAATAGTGCATAGTCCAAGAAAGTTACACTATCTCCCTTCTTCTGACTGCTGGCCTTTCCCCCGGCTTTGAGTGTGGCTCTTTCCTTATGCGTTTATCTTTTACTGGTTATAAGTTGCTTTACATTAATATACAGTATATTGTCTGTGTGCTGAGTTACGTTTGTGTTACTCCACTAGATGGAGCCATGTTCTCATTTTACACAAAGTACGGAGTAAGATTGAATGTTGGATGAGGCTATCTAAATAAATGCATGCAATGCTTTTATTATCTGCTCAAATCATGTATTTATATTCTTTTTTTCATTCCCCCAAGGCAGTCCATTGTACAGTTTCAGGAAAAGGAGCTGCCGGAATTGAGGAACCGCTTGCAGACTGTGAACAGAGAGATCGAGAGGCTGAAGGGCAACGTGGAGGAGCAGGAGACTCTGCTCGGTACCCTGATGTCTGAGGAGGAGACGGCCAAGGCCTGCCTGCAGGACATCTCTCTCATGGACAGATACCTGGTACCGTCTTACGCTCTCTGACCCCCGCTGTCCCTTTTCAGCATGTACACCTGTGCCAGCCCTTGTCTCTACAGATAAGGGCTGGCAGTGAAACGGGGGGGGGGGGGGGAGGGGGAGTGAAAGGGTGTGTGTGTGTGTTTGTGTTTTCCCCCCCCTAAGAAGGTATGAAAAGGAGAATACTGGGTTTGTTGTTGAGGCTAACACGTCAAAACGGTAAACATTACTCACAAAGCGCAGCACACACACACATACACGGTCGAAATAAAGATATTAAGTCAAAAAACATGCCCTCATGTTATCTTGCAAAATGTAGTTTTGGTGAGAAACTAAAGTAAGTTGATTGGAGATGTTCTCACGGGAAAAAATTTAGATACTAAAGGCCCTGTTTGACTTCCCAACACTACTCGTATAGCGTATTATACATCATAGCAGTTAAAAAGTTAAATTATTGTTGTATCATTACAAATAAAACATGTTATTCATTTTACCACCGCTGTAGAGGGAATAGGTGATGAAAAATATTGTTAGGTAGGAAAATTAGAAAATGGACTGAAGTGAAAAGAACGGATTGAAACTTGTCTGCTGATTCCACAGAAAGAGCCCATGAGAGTCGTTATTCTCTCTTAATATGATATTAAAGTGACAAATAACAGCTGTGTTGGACAAAAGAAAAGTCTTACAACTGGCAGTTTAGTTCTGATTCAAGAATCACTAAGACTTTACTAATTCCTGGAAAGGTACATACACCCCCCTTCTCCAAAGTGTCTTTCTTCACTTTACTACTTATTTTTTTCTGTCCAGATGGACCTTAAAGAGTTGGAGAAGAAAATAGCTCAGCAAGCAGCCAAGCTTCAGGGAGTGGACCTGACCAGAACCGTCCAGCAAGTCAGTCGGGAGAAACAAGAGACTCAGCACAAGCTAGATACCAGTAAGACAATATCATACAGGCATTTACCTGTCTCTTCAGTTCTAACGTGGTTTTGGAACCAGTTTTCTTTAATCCTCTTTTAATTGAATTATTTTAGCCTCTAAACTTGCTTAAATGCTGGTCTTCATTTTGTCATCTGAATCCCAGCAGCAGATTGTCGACTGAGATGAAGTGTAATCCTTTTTGTCTTTATCCATTTCTAACTTCATTTTTGTACTTGCAGCCTCCAGCAAGATGGAGCTGAAACGTAAGCTGGTCCAGGACCAGCAGGATCAGATTCAGTTGCTGAAAAGTGCTGTAAATGAGACCCGGGAAGAGAAACTGCAGCTGAGCAGTGACATGCAGAAACAGCAGCAGCTGGAGGAGCAGTGCATCGAGTTCGCCACTGAACTGCAGGCCTTAACCAGGGACATCAGGGTACACTTTATGGCTTCTGTTGATCCGAGCTACTCCTCAGAAGATGCATCTGTGGAGGCACTTGTGAATTAGTGGAGTCACACGGGACAATGCTGCACACGATATTATTTATAGTGTCTAGTCTATTCATCTTTTACAGTTCTCGTTAACGAGAATGCAGTGGAGATTTTTGATTGTTTTATGTCAGTTTGCACCTTTCTTTTACGATTTATTTCCGTATATATGTGGACTTTTGTTTTGGTATCTTCGCAGTGTACGCGTCCTGCGTTCTGACGTCATGTAGACGCACTAAGGGGGAAAATAATCACATCGTGCTCTTTTCATTCATAAAGTCATTCCTGTTTTTCGTGTTGTCACTTTTCTTCTCACTTTGTGCCCAACCAGGAGGCGAGAGAACAGCTCTCCCCTTTGTCTGCCGCCCTGGAGAAGCTGCAACAGGAGAAGCAGGAGCTGGTGGAGCACAAGAGGCAGAAGCAAGAAGAGGGGCGGGACAAGGTGGACACATTTTCACTCTTATCGCTCATTGACTGTAGCCTTTCTCTCATCAGCGTGATGTTGATTTTCACTCGCATGGGACTGGCCTCAGAAGATTATTGATGAAGTGCTGACGATAGGCTTTTTCTGTGTTTCTTGTTTATATTCCCTTACTTTTAACCCCTATGTATATTTAATTGTGAAAATATATATTGTAAAGTGAGTTACCATGATTTAAATGTTAAACCTAAATGACTTCAATGTCAAACTAGTCACTATTCTCCCATTTTCTGTATGACAGATCACTACCATTAAAGATAAAGTGAAGGAGATCTCCAACTTGGTCAGAGACATCACCAAATACGTTGATGACGGCAAAGATGAATACAAAGAGGTAACGTGTTTGCTACTTTCATACGTGGTGCACTGTGACTCTCCATTGTTCAATTAGTGAGGGACATCACCCATCATATCGAAGTGTGAATGTTTTCATTCTTTCTTCACTCAAGCAAAAAGAGGCTGAGCTTCAAGAAACCAACACCCAGCTCCACGAGGCTGAGAAGGACAAAGAGAAGGTCAACAAGGAGATGGGGAACGTCCGTCAGGACATAGACACTCAAAAGGTACGGCCTTCCCAACCAGCATCGTCTTCCTTATCTTCTTTGTCTCTTTCGTTCTGCTTTCCAAATAAAGCCGTAAACGACCTCACCCGTTTAGAGGATGCAGCCGAGAGGGGTTGACTTTTTCATGCTTTACATTGCCAGGTCCAGGAGCGCTGGTTGCAGGACAACTTGACCTTGAGGAAGCGTGTTGAGGAACTGAAGGAGGTTGTGGCGAAACGCGAGGCTCTAATGAAAGACATGGGCAACATGCAAGTGCTGCAGCTACGCCAGTAAGGGCACCACGTCGTTCAATACATCTGTTAATCCTTTGGAGACGTCCCAAGTCCCTTTAGTAGTACAAAGTTTCCACCTCATCGCTTTCTGTGGTTGCCCAGCGAACACCGTGAGGCCGAACGCAAGCTGGAGGAGCTGAAGAAGAACCGCAGCATCGCTTTTGGTCGTCAAAAGGGGTTTGAGGAGGAGATTATGGGTTGCAGGTGAGATATGCAGATCGATTCAGCTGAGGTGTTCAAATACCAATCTAATATGTAAGATACATATCTTTGTCAGTGCATGTTTAGTAATCAGGAGATAAGCTCTTTCGAGTGAACATCTTTAAGAATAATAACTTTGCAGGTTTTGCTGGTTCCTGTCCAACCGTCTGTCCAACTTTAGTGTCCACCAGCGCCGCTTTAAATGAATGACATGGTATCTTTAACAATTGAAGCTGATTGCTTACAGAAAAGAGCTACGAGAAGATCAGTACGACAAAGCCGATGAGCTCTACAAGAACAAGATGATAACCATGAGGACGACCGAGCTGGTCATCAAAGACCTGGATCTCTACTATAAGGCCCTCGATCAGTAAGTATCTGCGTGCATGTGAAGTAGGTGCTAACCACAAAGTCTTCATCAGAGATTGCGATGCATTGAATAGGTGCAGTGAATGAATAGTCTCTTTTTCTTTTTCTTTTTCTTTTTACTTGAGAACGCCGTCTGGAAATTATTTCATATTAATGTGACAAAAGCATCTCACGGTTGTGCGCAGAAGCAAACAGCGTGTCAATGTCTGTACACGCAAGTAGGCGATGACACAAACTGAAACCGATCTGAGCAAACAAACTCTATGTGGGACCGCAGAGGTGAATAGAATCATATGTTGAAAGGCTGTGAAATGTAAGACTGCAACATACCAAGGTGGGTGGATATGTTTGGCTTTAAAATAAATCCCCCCCCCCCAAATCTATCCTTTAATGATAATAAGAAGACTGCAAAGAAACACACACAAAATAATCGATCAGCATTTGATTTTGCTCCTGGAAAGGATGTGCTTAGAAAGCCGTAGTGATTTAAGACGCGGTGTCAGCTGTAGCACGTCATCGGTTGCAACAGCTCTTGTAGTTTCCTGTTGTAAGATGTATTGTCAGTGTCTTCCTTTTTACTCCCCTTTGAAGTTTTCAAACCCACCCTAGATTGTTAAAACAGGAAGTCAGTGGTCTAATGTGGGGAAATTCACGGCTTGAGCCGTGATGTCACTCGTCTTGTAAGCCTTACTGACACTGTGGGCTTTGGACATTCATTACCTGGAAGCTTTCAACGACTGACTATTGCCAATAATTAAGAATGACGGTGGCTCGTTGATGCAGTTTCTCATCACCGCAAGAGCGACCTGTGTTTGGAACCTGCAGGCCGCTTGCGCCCTTACGTTTTGGAGTTTATTATATTGTCAGAACGGTCAGCAGTAGCATTAACATACTGCTAATTTATCTCAATCGGATCAGTTATGTATAAAAAAGCGACATGGCACACCAGCTGCTGATCATTAATTATCTATCAATCATGATACAATAGGATATTATTGCAAGTCCAGTATACTGTTAGCTAATCATAGATGTAGAAAAAAAAATTATAATTAGTCTACTTTGTATGTATGTATTAACCTGAATTGATTTCAGGTTTGTTTGAATTGGAAACCTCTCTCAGCAGGACAGCAAACCACAACAACATAACTACCAGTTTGATATCAAATCAAAACACCGGAAGGTTTATTGAGTTCATAAGAACAGAAATAAGGGCTTAAAGGCTTCTGCTCAATGCGCTTTTTCAGTGACTTTCTTTTGGGAAAGCATTTCATCCAAATTCCAATGTAAATCAATTTCTGTAGTGGTAAAACATTTATTTGGTTCTTGCATATATGGATCAGTTTGACACCCTAACTGAGAATGAAAAAGCAAACGTAAGCGTCAGGAAGTCGCAGATACCATCTGAGAAGAGAGCAGAAGCATTTACCCATGTGTGTGGGTTCGGCCTGGGAGCCTGCTCTGGCGCCGCGTCTGTTTATCAAGATCGAAAGCAGGCCGTACATCCAGGTCACAGTTTCTTTTTTAATACACAGAAAGTTGTGTCACGGTGAGATGTTTTGATTCGTAAGTGGTAACCAAATCTGTATGAAGCTCTTGTCTGTCATTCACTACGGTTAAACTCCTGAAGACAAAGCCGTGACTGCCTACATTCTGTTTCGAGGTTGTAAAATGACTTGCAGTCAAAACTGAATATCAAAATCTGTTTATTTACACTTGACAGTGATGTTAATTCCATGGCATTTAAAAAAAACAAAAGCATTGCTTTCTATAGTTATTTTGAAAAACAGCTATTAATGAACTCCACATGGGACTGAAACATCACTTTAGCAGATTTAGTTAGTAAAGATATTTAGCAAGATGTCTAAAAATGATTTAGAAAAATTAAAAATCTTAAATCCCTGTGTTCTTGTCACATGACCAAATACTGTAAATACATATTTAACCACCAAATATGGGCTTCAGAAGAAGCGTTGTTGGTTATGCTGTTATCACGCTGGTGTTTTCAAACCACATTGGAGTTTCTCATCCATTTGTCAGATTGTAGACGAGAGGATTCCTAGTACGCCGGAAAAACGCCTCCAGTGTCCGGCCTTCATATCTTTTATATCGACGTACACATATTTTTCCTCCACCAGTATTATATTGACTTATTAGAGAAAAAAAATAAAATGCTGAAGCTATCATTTTTTTAAGCGAATGATCAGAAAATAGCTTGCAGTTGCAGCGCAACAACATCTAAATGGTGCTTCATGAAGGTTGTCCGTGTCTGCCATGAATACCCTTCATGTGTGTGCACACTGTCGTCTGCAACCTGCTCCGTATGTTCACCTCTGAACCAACCCAGAGTTCAATCGGCCCTCTCCTCATCCACATTAAATGACCACTTTTCTTCCATAGGAAGCGGTGTCGCTTGTTGTGAACTACGGGAAAGTAATCGCAGATACACACACACGAGACGTCGAACGCACTTCTTAGCCATTTGCTGCCCATGCATTTTAACCTACCAACATCGTTGATATTCTTCAATTAGTGTCCACGATTCAACGTACAATTTGCTTGTGATTCACAGTCCCGGGTCTGCTTCTCTCTGTCACCCGATGGTCACACTGGAAGTGTCTCTTGGGCAAAGCGAGTCAAACAATGTCTTGTAGCTGCCTGTGCTTCGGGAAGGTAAACGGCATCTAGTCCACATTTCGGTCTACAGCTTTTAGCTTATTTTTGTTTTCCTCAGAACCATCATGAAATTCCACAGCATGAAGATGGACGAGATCAACAAGATCGTCCGAGATCTGTGGCGCAGCACCTACAGGGGTCAAGGTGCGTCTCACCTTTTCGGAACTATTTTTTTTTTTTGACGTGTTCGATCGCGCCTGGTTCTCTTTCCTCTGTGTTTCATCGCTCCCTCTTGGCTCCTCTACAGACATTGAGTACGTGGAGATCAGGTCTGATGTCGACGAAAACGCGTCCGCTGGAGTGAAGCGCCGGGTTTACAACTACAGAGTAGTTATGGTCAAAGGGGACACGCCTTTGGACATGAGGGGACGCTGCAGTGCCGGACAGAAGGTACCTGCACGTTCTGGTTCTGTAAGCAAGTAAAGTACAAAACAAAACCAGATGACTACAATGGAGTTTCAGGTTTTGTTCTCCTTCTTCTTCTTCTCCTTCTCCCTAACACTATGACATTGTGTGTGCAGGTGTTGGCGTCCCTGATCATTCGTCTTGCCCTGGCCGAGACCTTCTGTCTGAACTGTGGGATCCTGTCCCTGGACGAGCCCACCACCAACTTGGACCGAGAAAACATTGAGTCACTGGCACACGCCCTCGTAGAGTGAGTACACACACACACACACACACACACACACACGTTTTCACCTGAAACTCGTGCGGACCGTATTTGACGCGATGCGTTCCACGAAACCAGGTCTCAATCTTCAAACGACGCTTTGTAGGCCGTTCGAGCGTTGCGTCAACACAATAACCAAAGGCTCCTTTGTGATCTGGTTGGCACTACGTGACTGACTCGTCTCGCTCGTTGCTTCGCCAGAATCATCAAGAGTCGCTCGAGCCAGCGCAACTTCCAGCTGCTGGTCATCACCCACGACGAGGACTTTGTGGAGCTGCTGGGCCGCTCGAGCTACATCGAGCACTTCTACCGCATCCGAAAGAACCAGGACCAGAACTCCGAGATCACCAAGTGCAGCATCGCCTCCCTCACCACCTATCTCCACTGAGCAGACAACTGACTCCCAACCCTTTTTCATTTCGGTTGCACAAATGTCGATTTGTTCAGTTGATTTTGGTAGAATAGGAACTGCTTGGAAAGCGTATTCATGCACATTTAGCGACTATCTGTAAAACGAGAATTAACCTTGACGTTTCTGCACAAAGGTCTCCGTCCTCTTGTTCTTCTTCGAGCCGGAAAGCCATTTCCAGAAATGTAGCAATACCTAAACATTTGTTTTCTACACTAAAATAAGTTGAGAAAGTTCTTGGTGAAGTGCTTGTAGAAAAGCTGATAATTGTACCTGGTCTTTGGATGACATCACAAACCACATTTCATGACAAACCGTCTGGCGCTGATGTTTTTGGTCTTTGTACAGTGTCCAGTAGCCATCTGCTGGCCAGCGCGGGTAACGGAAGGATGAGTTCTGTTTCAATGTTCCGCGCTTTGTGTTTTAACGCTTTGGCATTAAACCTTGTTTGAAGGATTTGGGGTTGATATCTGCGAGTGGGTCTCTTTTTCATTTGAGTAATGTAATGTAACCTTCTTTAGGTTGTCTATCCCGTCGGTTCAGTTTCTAAGAAAAGTAGCTCGATGCAAGTGACGTTGCTCACCAACCGCAGATTAATCAAAGAAATCTTATCTCAAATGCCTACTCATTCTTGTAGTTCTAATAAGGGGAAAAACGTGGCCACGGCGTGGGCAAAGCAAGTATAAATGTCGGTGTTCTCAGTCAAGACCTCAGAACAAGCTGCAAGCTGACAATTGAGGAATCATTTCATAGACTTCTTGAAACAGCTTCTTCCAAAGGTCTTGAGCCGACGAGCTACTATGATGATGATGAAGATGATTTTTCTGCTGGTTTCCGCTGCGGCGCTGCTCCACGCTTCAGCTCTGCCACTTAACCAAAGGGAAAACCTAAACCATATAATTGACCTGGTGCAACAATACAATGGGAGTCATCGTATGGTAAGCTCCCATCAGATGAACACTATTATGTAACTCTTTTGTGTTTGCGTTATTTAAACACTTCATTGGCGCTTGATCTCGTTAAAACCTAAAATAATATATTGTCTTTTTTTTCTCTGTGCTTCAGGGGAACTTTGTGGAAAATGTCAAAGAGTTGGCCAATTGTAATGTAAGTTTTCTGATTGGCAGCAACGAAAGAAGACCAACTGCAATGGCCATTTTGCATAATTTATGATGTGCTTGCCTAGTTTATTTTTTTTAATGCAAACGTATTGCTTGTCTTCCATACAGAGCATCTTCTTCTGCAAAGTGCACAAAATCCTGCGTAAGCACTTCGGTAAAAATTCCTCGGAGGAGGAGGTGAAGATTGTGAGAAACTTGGAGATGTTTAACGGAGCCCAAAATGTAAGAGCTTCACTTTTTACATTTGCAAAATGAGACAGTCTTGTGTTACAAAAGAATGATTACCCCCACCACACACACACACACACACACACACACACACACACACACACACACACACACACACACACACACACACACACACACACACACACACACACTGTTTCCTGCCTCAAGATAAACAGAGCAAGAGTTGTTGAGAACCATTAATGCAAGTATAGTGCGCTAAACTGACTTGATTTCTTGATGTCTTTCAGCAAACCTGTGCAGTGTTACTAAAGAACGGGACGACTCATCACAACAGCATACAGATTCCGCGACTTCTCGAGGACCTTGTCAAGTGTATCCAGAACACCAACATGATGAACTAAGCCGGAGTTACTCCCAGACGGGCGACCCGACTGTCAGTGTTGAGTCCTTGAGTGTTTGATTTCTTTATTAGTGAGTCATTTAAAATAAAACAACAAAAAAAAAGTAAAGATAGTGATAAGAAGCAAATGATTGGGGCATGTGATTATAGAGATATTGAAACGGTAGAACTTGTTGCTAAATTGTTTTTTCATATATTATTGTTTGTTGTTGTTAATGAGCAGCTATATACAGTATGTTTACAAAGATTGACGTGATATTGACTTAATATATTGGCAAATTTATGTCTGCAGTCCCTTGGCAAAATGCACAGCCCGTCCATACTAAAGTAAACTACAATAATGGGAAGTTAGCTGTTTTTAGCTCTCACTCTTAACGACTTGATAAAAGGATCTTGACTCAAACAGCTTTCATAGAAAATAAACCATGGGCGTTATTATGACCCGGGTCTCCAAACACCTGGATATTTATTTTATTGTTTGCATTGTATTTAAGATAAGTTCATAAGTTAAAGCTCTTAACTATATGTACAACATATTTATTGTAATATCACACAGCGTTGCAATAGGTGAATACAGAAAAAAATAAATTGTGTTGCCCATGAGTGGAGTGTGTATGGAAATGCTTTGTTCTTTATTCTCCCCACTATTATTTATATGTTGCAGTTGTATTAAAATATGCCAAATTTACCATCAATTTTAGTTCTCTTTAAATATGTTGAGTCACATTGCAACTGCCAGTTGTGCAGCACGTGACGTTAAAACATATGCAGGTACACACGCCGCTAATACACTGGTTGTTTGAATGACCACATCTTTTGTCCATGACAAGGGAAACATTAACGTTTGTATTTTTCTGAAGTGGCAACGAGAAAACCAGTTGCCTTGGTACAGGACGTGTCCTGATTACCTGTAAAAGAAAGGAACTGTTGTATTACTCCGTAATAACGCGCGGACAGGATACCTAAAAAAAAAAAAAAACGGAACAAAAAAGCCCGTGAATGCAGCAGAGGGGGGCGTGGCTCCCCGGCCTCGCAGACCCCGACGAGGCTCTGCAGCTGGCGATGTGACGTCACTACGTCAATGCGCGCCAACAACATTCAGGCCAGCACGTCATCTCCCGGCCCGGTCACCGCGGTTCACTCTCCGTTAACGTAACTTCCCCCCGCAGCCGAAATGGGGGGAAATTTCACGTTGGGTAGATATAAGTTTTCATTATGTGTTAAACAGTGGAACCTCAAATTTTTATTGATTTCAAAATAGTTTTTTCAGAGTTTTAAGTTCAACACATAAATAACCAAAGGCTCAAACGACCTGTTGATTTGTTTACTTAGGGGTAACAACTCAATGAAAGTATTTTATTCATGTGTGCAGAAAATAGCAATGCAGAAACGTTTAGAAGATCAAGCGATTTGCTCAAATATTAATGGCTCCATTCGGCCCCCTGAAGAAGGACCCTGGTTTTCGTACAGTGCTCTCAGCCAATCGGTGCCGCGCCCACAGATGCATTTGGTGCCTGGCTGTGGCGAGCTGCCCGCCCTGACTGAGGAGCTCTCTGGGAGAAACATCTTCCACCACTCTTTTCCCGCTCGCCTTGGACAATGTACCCGTCACTCGGTGACTTGATGCAATGTGGCTCTCGGTGGCTCTCCGCTGTGTGTACACGGGCTACTGAACCGTGGCTCCCTCATTACTAAGTAAAGAGAATCACTCTCCTTTTCAACTGTTCTTTTTATAGAACTGTTGGAATCATTCACAATACTTTTCCTCCCATCCTTAAATTTTTACTCCTTTTTGATTTTAAAGGACAAATAAACTCGCAGGTCGGTCGAGCGTTGTACAATAAGAAGATGAACTTGTTAAGTAAAAGCTGCACTGCAATGAGAAATATGACATCTGTCGGGGTTATATATTTTTTATAATTTAATTATTACTTTTTCATCAAGATATGCAGCATTTTAACTTCACCAGAAGAAACAAATCTCTCCCAGCAAGTATTTGTGATCATTTACACAAATTACATCAACCTTGTATCAATATATACTTCTTCTTTCTCACAATACAACGGTTATTTCCAGTATATCACAGCGCCCCAAATCAGACATCCATGAAGACACTTTGTTTGATGTTGAGTTACCAGTGGTATCCTGTGGCCTCATTAACGGATAAAATAAGATTTGTTTAGACCTGTTATCCTGGCTATACGCTCTAAACCCCATGGGAGGGGGGGGGGGGTGTTTGAAAGTATGCAAATGATGTTGAATCGCCACGAGGCAATTTAACCCCAAACCGAACCGCATCACACTATCTTTGCTCTCCATCCTGATGTGATTGTTAACGTTCTATCAGCTGGAAACGTCTCGTCAGGCCGCGTCCCGTCGACATCGACCTCCTTTTGTCTGCAGACGGACGAGTTGACCCCGGAGCAGAACTTGCGTTCAGACGGCCTTGATGCACATGCCTTCTGTTTTCTTCATCACACGTGCACGCGCTCACCGCTGCTTTCTTCATTGCGTTCCTGGTCGATTGCCTCGGGGCTGTCTTCGGGGCCTGGAGCCAGTGGGATTAGACGGGGGGGGGGGGGGGGGGGGGTTGGCTGAATCGGCATGGGGACCTCCTTCCAGGGGGCCCCCACTGTGGCCTGGCTTGGTTTTCATGTCTGTCTTCAAAAGCACAGAGAAAGGGGGATGGGGAGTTGAAAGTGGGAGGGGGGGGGTTGGGGGCCAGTTTGCCATCAGTGGCGCTGGCATCGCTGTTTTCCCATGTGCCCTCAGTCTGTATATACGGGTCCGAGGTGGCGGAACACGTCAACACCGAGCTGCTTTTCACTTCCTTGTTTACACAACCCCCCCCTGCCAACCCCCCACCCTCGGGGCTATCAGAAATACAGAGTGCACACATGTGCTATCAAACGATGTGTTTCCATCAAACGTGATGCTTTTTTTTTTGAGGCCCTGTAATTATCTCTGGTTTACGTTACAGGCGGCAGGATTGTTATTCATGAGGTGTTTTTACAAACGGGTGTATTTGTGGACAAAGTGCTTCCATGGCCTGTACTTTACTTAATATTCTTAAAAGGATTCAGATTATTCAACAGTACTTTCCATTCATTTGTGGCACTCGACTGATCCCATTTGACTTGGAAAGAAGTTCTTTACCCTGTAAGATTTTTTAAAAACTTTTTTCTGGGCTTTCTAGAGAACATTTAACAGTTACACACAACAGTTGTTGGCAGCATGTTTGAAAATGCAACAAAAAGAAGAAGGAGCTGCTCTCAACATGTTTATTTAAAAGCAATTCCATTACAATTCCATCTGTCTTTTGTACTTGATTGCATCCTCACATAAAACTGCCGTATTCGGGATTCACATTCAATTTCTCTTAAAAAATTCAAAAATCGACATAAAAAAGGAGTGAAGAGCTAATTAAGGAGCCGTGCAAACGGCCCCCTGGGGGGCCCGCCTCCTCTCGGCGGTGGCGTCCTCTGGGCGCTCCGCCTGTCTCACAAGTTTAGTGTCAGACGGTTTCGGACCGGCAGGGACGCGCTCACCTTGACACGATCAACCTGGAAATGAAAAGAACGAAATCCAGGCAGTCAGAATGACGGATACGTCAACCGGGGAGTTAGTCCTCCTCTTTCTTTCCTTCTCTCCTTCCCTCTGGCTTCCCTTTCTTTTATCTAACTTCCTCCTTCCCAGACTTTATTTATTCCATACCTTCCTTCTGGTATTCCTGATTGTCTCTTTCCTTTGTTCTTTA